TGGATTCGGTAGCCCCTTTTCCAGCTGCTGCTGCGGGGAGGTTTGAGGTCAGGCTGATGTCAGAGGTCTGGAATTCAACTGTTATTCTCCTCTGACATCACGGCGAGGTGAATAATGCTCTAGGTCAGACCTATAACCTCAAAGTAAGGTCGTAACTGGGAATGGGCGCACTGGCGTGGGACGGAGCGGGGCTTCGCCGGGAATTAATGCCGAAATAACGCACCCTGCGCGGAAAGCGTATGGTCCCCCCGCCGTCCCGGGGGTCGCTCGCTGTCACTGCCGCTGCTCACTGAAAAGGACATGTTCAGGACAGCAAACGGGTTTTTGTTACACGCGCATCAAACTAATCCCTGGAGTCACCCCACAGAAATTAATAAATTGCGGAAACAAAAAACTGGTCCACTTTTTTTTAAACCTGTCCGCATGGTAATGGTTATTTGTTGATAAAAGTGTCAGCAAGAACTATTGGTAGGCGAAGCGTTTTTTCCAACTCTGATACTCTATCATTTGTAATTTAAAACACAGAGAAAATATAAACGCAACACCCATTTCAAGTGAGAAGTTCAATTTATTGCAGATCACTGCAACCATACTGCCTAAGCAGGGGTACAAAAGAACATCCGCGAGGTACACCAAATCCTACCCTGTTCCCATTAACAAGAATATAGTTAAAAACATCTCGTTACAGAAGTTACTTATTATTATTTACTGACAACTACGTCCACGTTAAGGTGCTGAAAAGCTAGAAATTCAGTCTTGAGTTCCCTGAGACTTGCAAGGCCGCCTGCGATATCGGACTGATTTCCTAAAGCAGCGAGTGCCCTTTCTCCTGTGCTCTCTCACAGCACATCGGTGAGTTGGTTACAGATAAATAGAGTTTACATGCACACAGACTCTGAAAGTGCTGCACTGCAGGAGATCCAGCTCCATAACCTATTACAATTAGCATATTAAAAAATTTTAATACTAAGATTTCATTATTTGTCTCCCGAATCATAGAGCATTAAGGCACTAAGACTCCCCTGACTCAAATCTCCAAAAGTATCTAACCTGTTGGTGGTGAAGAGGAGCAAGAAAGGCCAGCTAAGAAGTCCCCTTTGTATTTCACTTGAATTAAAGAGGTAGCAGCTCCAGTTTGATAAGGCTGAGCTCCTGTGATCTCCATCTCCTTACACCTCGAAACCAGGAAGGCCAGACCACTGCGCTCAAACCCCGCTACCATTAATGACCCAAACTACCACGGGACATACAGACCCTCCACTATTCCCGCATTACCCAGTGGTCTCCAGCCACGTCAGCTGGGGAGAACAAATCCAACCTCAGGTGACAACGCTGCAGCAACGTAATCAAACATTGTTTCCTTTTAACGACCAGAATACTCTCAGAGAAATGCTTTCCACAGGGTTTCATTTGAGGAAGAGGATTTGAACGTAAGCAGCCGGCCGTTCACTGGTCACATCAACTGGAACTGCACTGCACGGATGTCATATATGGTAACAAAGAACAAACCCGAGGACAATCGGTATGGCAACACTCCCACTTGTCCTACCTAAAAGCATCCTCAGATTGCATTTGCCTAGTTTGGACTGCCGGTGAATAATTCAAGGTTTCGCCTCGGTTCACCCTGAGCACACTGCTCCGTGTTCCCTTAGCACACCCTGACCACAGCTAGAAGCTGCTCAAAGCTCTGGAGGACATCACTGAGGTGGTCCCCATAAATTCTCTCTGCTCCTTTCTTGTGCCTTTTGCTCAGGACTAGCTCTAATTAATTATAAAAGAAGTATGAATATGTATGAAGCAGTTAAATTTATGTTTTAAGTGCTCTTCCACATATATTTCCCTAACACCACAAATACAGAATGTGCCCTCTTTATCCTTCAAACAGTACCTTAACATAAATATAAATACATAGCTATTAAAAACTTAAGATCTACTATCAATACAAATACAATCATACTTTAAAAGTTAAAAATCTACTTTGAAGACTTATTTAAAACAAAGTACTAAAACACGAAATAACTTATCATTACAGATACCATAAGAATCAAAGGAAAATTATAAAAACAGAAGAATTCCCCACTGATGTAAGAGTTCAGCAGCTGCCCTGTGAAATGGATACCCACCAGAAAGGATACACTTGCTGCTGAAACAGAGCGTTGGTTTAGGAAGGAAGAGCATTTCCTGGTTAATCACTCAGAAAATTAGCTCATCTTTCCTATAGCTGCTCTCCTGAAATCCCTGACCCATTCAGACCTAGAATCTTGTGACTTTCCTACGCTTTTGTTTCATACACAATTCCCAGTAAAGGGCCACAGTACGACCGCAAGCAAAGCCAGCGAGAGCTCCGCACGCCATCGATGCCGGGTATACTGCAGCTTCCAACAACATTAAATAAAAAGATTCCAAATACAGCATGAAAAACAATTTGCTTCCCAGTAAGAAAGTTCTAAGAAAGTTCCTAAGGCTTCCCGTTTACAAAAAGCTTAGAGTTTCCAGATCTAAAGAATACAAACCACTAAGTGACTACTTCATACAAAATACTCCTGACCACTAGATGCCTTATAACTCGACAGGTAGAAAACGTAATGGAAGAGGTGTAAAGCAAATGGAGCAACTAATACCCTACAAAGTTAAAATGAAAGCGAAAAAAAAAAAAAAGAGAGGGGTGTTGGTTGTTTTTTTTTCCTTTTAAAGGCAGTTGAAACGATGCAAAGTGCCTGTTGTGTGCAAAGCAGCGCCGCTGGAGTCTGAGGAGGGAACCCAGCTGGCAGCTGCTGCACATTTTCACATACTTGTCACCCACTTCTCACTCTCTTGTTTCTTCCTTCGGAAAGTACCCCTGCTTGCAGGGTATATCCACCAGCAGATGGAGATCTAGGAAGAAAAGGGAATACTGAGTCAGTATCAGTCCTTGTATATGTTTCATTGGCAGCATACATAGCAATTGTACTTCTTGCAGGTACTATAAAATACGGCCCAAAAGGTGGACTATAACTTGAGAATTTGAGGCCTACTGTTTAAAGAATGGGACTTATTCTATTTTTTAACAACTTTAAATAGAAAACAATAACAAAACAAATTATAAGAGAAGTGCTCCCATTCTTCAAGATAGATTATTTATATGTAAACTCACTACCACGGATACCGACTGTTAATTACTATAAACCCCTGGCAGGATCTACAGAAACGCCCATTCTGCTTGTGACATGCACCTTTGCTTAGCCACGAAAGGCCCAGCTGCCCCCAGGCATGCCCCAGCTGGTGCCAAGATCCTTGAGAAAACTCGGGGTATCACGGCCAGGACAAACGAGAGACTCCTTTATTGAAAATCCACGGCAAAATGAGGATACTTCCAATGTATAGCCAGATCTTGCCAATCAAGAAAGTGAACAAGTGCGCTGATGAAGTCACAACAGCACTACCACGGCACATGTCACCTGTGTGAACTTTCATCTCTGAACAGACACACTCACATGGTAGGAAAAGTACGCCAGCCCTTGTTCTTTTTCTATTCTACAAGGTTCCTGCCCAATAGGCACCAGTTCTGCACTTTCTGACATTTGCCTCCTGCCAAAGCACTGTTGGGAACAAATCTTGAAAATGCAGAGGGATGGAGAAACGTGGGGACTAGTCACAATGCGAGTCTGAACTATGTAAAGTGAGGAGACAGCATCTAACATCCACTCATCCAACACAGCAGACTGTCAGGACAGGTAATTTTAAAGTTCTTCACTGAATATATAATGTAGTAAAGGTAATGGCAACTGAGCTGGAGCAAGAAGCTGCAGCTCAAACTCCTGAGAGCGACATCCTTTTGGGCTTCAGACAGGAGGTGTTGAAGAGTTCGGGGCCAGGCCTGTCCCCACATTACCTCTCAACACCTCTGTAGGAGATCTCACTGTGACCCAGTAGGAACACTAATGAACTAAATGAAATTATTTTTGTCTGGAAGGGGCAGGAAACAGTTCAAGTGAACATACGGTAGCATGGGAGACCTTGCCTGAATGAAGATTTGCCCTCAGCAACTGCACCTATAAATCTATTTACTTTGCAGCGAGTGAGAGGGAATGTGCAGTCACACAACTGTAGTGGCATGGGAGTGGGTGGGAAATGTCTAGGGCACCTTGGAGCATGAGAATGATGGATTCATATAAGTCAGTATTATGTCGGTGTTCTTGCAGCAAAAAAAAATAAAATTAGAGGAAGTTGCCAGATTATTTGAAGGACTAGACGACTCACAAAAATATATGGCCAGCCATTGAGGAAGCAAACTTTTTGCTTAATGTATCAATATCGGCTTAAATGCTTAAATCCAGAAGTAACAAATTCCACCTGCTCTACTCTGAGATCCCTATTTCCAGAAAGAAGGGCTGCAAACAAAAATTTCTCCAATCAGAATCTGGTGCTTCTTAGGTACTCTTTTAGAAGAGGAAGCACAAACCACAGGTATTAGGTCCGGTACAGCTGTGTTCACTAGCTGAGTGTACCCATGCAGTACAATGCAGAGGAGATGGGGAAGGATACATGAAGAATTTAGAGTTCCTATCAATCATTTGTGAAGTCCAAAAGGACTCCTGTTGCAAGTGTGGATGCTGCCAACATAAGTTGACAGATCTTTTCTCCCAAAAATCCCATTTTATAGATGAGCTCAACTAGAAAGTAGAGGATTTGAAAGTAGGCACCTTCAAATCTATGTCCAAAGACAGAGCCTGGGGCTGAAAAAAAGCAGTCCCTGGAAGGTGAGTTATCCCTCACACCTCAATGTGACAAACGCGCCAGGAACTAGAGAGCCATACCCACTGCCTCACATGAAAACGAGTGGGAAGGGAACAGACGACACAGCCTACACTCATGTGCAATGATGTATCTTAGTGCTGAATAAAGTTCTGCACCATATTGCAGCCTCTGACTCCCAGGAGGACTCACAAATAGTTCTTCTTCTCCTGCTCCTACCAAAGAAAATGGGGTCCCTCTGCCAAACTGTCAGGTACAAAGACAATTAGTGCATGAGGAGTAAAGATACAGTTAAAGCAAACACTGGCATTCAAAACAAAGAGGAGGGTTCTTCACCCACTGTGTAACTAACCTATGTCAATGACATTAACTTCCAAAAGCCACAATGGACGCTAAATGTTTGCATGGCTTCAAAAAGGGACTAGAAAAATTAATCGAAGAAAAGTTTACTGAGGCCTTTTCTACTTAATAGTACAAAAATGCCAAAGATACTGTTGGAGACAGGACAAGAGAGGCCTTTCATCTTGACCCTGGTTGCCAGCATGTTCTTACAACTGGTAAACTCGAATTTAGCTGAGAAAGTTGGTTAAGTATATTGTTTTTCATTTGAAGAAAAGAGATAACCGATTTCAGTGATTCATGGTGCTGGAGAGATGGGATGGCAGCTGTGGAGGGAAATCCTGGGGCCTGCACTTCAGTAAGACAACGGCTGTCTCTCTCGCTACAGAATAGCTGCAAAAAGGCAAAGAAATCCGGTCCAGTTCTGCAAAGGACCCCCCACAATGGAGGGTTTGATTGCTGGCTCATTTCTACAGATTATCACCTTAGTTTGGGCTCAGAGCTGCTCCCAGTCACAGACGTGACTTTTCCTTCCATCTTCATTGCAGTGGCGTTTGGTACTACGTTATGTTGGCTCTCACTGTGTGATATCTAGAACTTGGTGTCACCACATAATAAAGAAAAGTGAATGATGTCAGCAGCCTGCTGAAATAGATGCAACAAAAGCCTTCTCTACAGCAGGATACGTATCAAAGTGTGGGCTCAGAATACTTGCAAATGAGTGCCCAAAGGAAAAGAGGAAGACAGACAGGACTCAATCACTTTCAAAGGATAAGTTGGGAAGAAACACCTGGAAATTTTCACGATGCAATATTTTAGCACAGAAAGATTAAGGAAGAAGTTGTCTCCCAAGACTCACAGAAGAAAGGAGGTACTGACAGACAAATGTGTAGTCAGAACAACAGAAGTCAGCTTATATTTAAACCTGTCTGCTTCAGGCTTAGAGCTGAAATGCAGGAGACGGGCTCTGCCGCCTTCGAGGCTCGTATCCTGTGCCCAATTTATTTATTTGAGCCTGACCAGGTTTGGCTCAGGTGTGCCGTTTGTCTGTCTCTACCCTTTACATGATACCAAGCCTAAAAGCTACAACAGTGGAAACTCAGACCTGGATGACTATCACATTTCCCAGAGAGTCGACTCTATGCTAATTGTCGCTAATTAGCATTAGCGTAACAGTGTTTCATCTCTGTGGAACAATCCCATGGAAATGCTTTCCAAAGTGTTCCTGTACATAACTTTACAACTGGCATATTAAGCAAATGTTTTGCTGTAGATATGAAAGCTGAGAAGTTTGCTAATTATCCATGGTACCAGGAAGTAATTGAACAAGAACTCTCAATTCTGTGTTTTAAACAAAAGCCTGTCTTCTTTCAAGATGGCATCCAACCTTTTTTCTCAGCTTCCTGACAAAAAGACTTTATTCCTTACTTAAATGTTTGAAACTGATGGGCGTTATGAGCTGAATTATTAACTAGCATCATTATCTGGAATCTAGAAACTACCCTTTGAAGTGAGCAACAGCTCTTCAAACTCTACAATCAGCTCTTTGATGAACAGCTGTGAGGGAAATAGCTTCTTGCGAGACTTGCAGGCTGCACCAACTTTTCCTCTCGAATGGATCCAAAGGACTCTTTGTGTCCTCTCATGTCTCCCTAATCTGGGGACATTTAGGTTTTTCCTTTAGTTTCTAGATTTGTGAACTGTTTGGCCTCAGACATTCTGCTGCTTGTTTTTCTCGTGTATTTCAGCATACAGATCAGCAGACTGGTACAAAATTTAATTATTGATTTGAGACAAAAGGTTTGGACTTCTCCACTAACTTCATCAGTTTGGTGGGTTTTTCCCCTGTTACTTCAACAGTCGCCTCATTACTCAGTGTTTCCTTCATAGCACTGTCGTTTCCCTCCAGCAAACATCTCTATGGACTTCATCTCAATATCGTCACATCCAGCTTTCTGACACAACTCCCAAGACTTCAGGTTTTATTTGCGGATATAATTTATACCCTTTTCCACATAGGAGTAATTAGCGTAAGCATATCTATAGAAGCATGTTGGTAAGTATACCAAAAGGTTGTACAAGTATAATATTTTAACTGAAGGCTCAATGAAGTACTTACTGCAGACAGTAACTAAACTATTCTAATCTCTCCTTTCTGTAATAGTTTCATAGCAGCTGTCTCTGTAATCTCTAAAAAAATGTCTAATCTCTTCTTACCAGGGGACTTGCTGTTGGGGGAACTGTGTCTTCTTTTCCTGCTTCTACGTTGTACAGATGAATCTGCCTTTTCTACAGATTTGTTCACAGGCTCAGTTCCTGAAGTGAAGCCTCTCTCTTCCGTCTCTGACGTACTGGATTCACATTCAACACTAGTATTCTCCTTTAAAAAAGAGAAATAAAACCAAAGATCACTTAATATTTTTCTTGTCATCATTTTAGGGACTAAATAATAACAACTATTCTTCTCCACTCCAAAAGGACATCTAACAAGTGTTGAACACTGCCTGGATGGTTTAATAAGTGCTCTTAACTCAGAATTAAGATTGCCAAATTGAAACTCGAGCTCTTACAAAATATAATATTAAGCAAAACATGAAATCAGAAAACTAGAATATACAAAGTTAGGGGACATGTCCTCACAGTCTGAGCTTTGCCCTCAGTTATCAAACTAGCTATAAGAAATAAGCTAGAAGAAATCCAGGTGCACTCATTGTTACCAACACGTGTATTAGTAGTGACAGATCTAGTTCAAACAACTTGACAGAGCTGTGTGATGCAAAACTACACATGCGAGCCGCACATTTCTGGTTGGAAATCTCACCCCACCCCACCCAATTGTTAAGACATTAAATTATAATGTGTTGCTTGCTTTTTGGAGCCCTCTGCTGCTGCTCCATATGTATTTTGCAGGCACCCATTTACTTAACTGGTATATTTCCATGATCATGTGGCAAAAATCTGTAGGGTTAAAAAAAAAAAAAAAAAAGGCAACCAACCAAGTTATAGTTTTATTCCACTGGGGAAATAAAGACCCAAAGTTAAGCACTTGGACTTTACCTTTAGACAGAAAAATGTTCTCACTATCACCTGTTCTAGAATATTCATCTCTTCTGCAAATATCCTATCATCATTATCCTAAAGATGAATGATTGTTCAAAACCTGCAACATTTCCTTCTATTAAGGAAAAAAAAAGCTTTTCAAAAATGGTATGTGTGAGTTTACAGAAGACAAGAAGTCATCACGCTTGGTAATAAGATATTAGTATTTCAAAAATTCACACCCTCCACTTTGAGTCTGTCATTGCTCAATTTTAAATATCTAAAAGGCAATGTGTATGCATATTAATAGAAATACATATACATTCTTTGACAAAGTTGTATAACAATGTCCAAAAAGGCCTGTGCAAATTCAGTAACTGAACACTCCAGGGAGAGCTAGTTCCCCCCAACACGCCTCCTGCACTTGCTGGATACCACTGGACTATGTGTTCTTTGAAACGCGGTGTCTGTATGTATCGCACCAGCACCAAGGCCATGTGAAAACCATTTGGCTTAGCAATGCTTTTTGTCTCACATCTGAACCACAACACCTTCCTAGGCATAAAAACAAAGACAAGGAAGGAGAACTGAAGTTCACTACCTTCACCAGCTAGAATCCAAATTTCATGAGTGATGATCTGAACTTCTCCATTCCTGGTGACATTTACATAATAATAAATTCTAGAAAAATGAGTAAGCAGCCTTAAGCAACTAGTGAGAGAAGAGAAGATTTCTCAAGTGAGCTTCCTAATTTGGATACTCCACAGGACAACTGTTCTAGAAACAATTGTACAAATTTCACTATAAAAAAAAAAAGAGGAAAAATAGATACACTATGAACTGAAGAGCAGTATCAGACAGGGGATGTAGAAATCAAACTGCATTGTTTGATAAACAAAACACAAATGCATATTGGGGTAACCATTATTAAGAAGTCTAGACGTTCTGACTAGCAGTTCTTCTACAAAGAACCTGGGGATGCTGCAGTGCCCAGGAAGGCTACCAGCACCTTGGGCTGCACAGGGACGAGCGTGGCCAGCGAATCCAGGGAATTTCATTGCCCCCTCACTGCTGAACCTCTACTGCCTCTGCTGTGTCCAATTTTAAGCCTTACGGTTGTGTGTGTGGAAACCGAAGAGCAATGATACTGCACAGTACCCCCTTCAGATTCCTTTTTATTACTGTTTATAGGATCTTACACACCAACTCTTTAGTAATCTAATATAAAAAAGACAATAATAAGATTTTCATCCTAATAGTGTCAGCCTAGCCCACACAAATCTGGTTCCCAAGTTCTCTCTTTTATTACTATTTTTTTAAGTGAACATGCTTCTGACCATGGATTTACCACATCTGTGGACAGCCTCTTCACTCAGACCCAGTACTCCTGCAATTTGAGAGTCCCAAACATTGTTTGGCAGAGAATCAAACAAAGGTACCACAGCTGACGGATGTGACAGTTTTGCCTTTTCACTTCAATTATTGAAAAATTCCAAATCTGCGGCATCTCATGGGTTACATGACTTATAAGACAGTGACTGGACTATACTTATACCCAGTTGGAACCACGATGAGAGACTAAGGTACTAAAATTAACAACTCCAATGGTGGGGTTTGCTGGATTAACCTTCCCCAAAAAAAGCAAGAGTTTCAACCTTCAGCAAGGTATATTGCCAAGGAGACTGAATAAAATAGGAGGCAAATTCTACTTGATCAAGCGTTACAGAAATGTTGTATTTCCATTTTAAGAATAAAACATTTCTTATGAGTAGGAGTGGAATAAAATATGCCTGTTTAATGCCAAAACCTGTAAAAGTCTAGGACCGGAATTCAGTGAGGCTAAGAGGACAATGCTGGATCTGAACTATTGAATGCACAAACTTTTCATGTAAAGAATTGCTCTTTAATTTGTTATCTTCTAGGAAAGCAGAAAAGCAGAGTAAAGCAGGTTTCTACTAAACTCCCAGTTCTACGAGGAGGACAGTTCAAGGCTCACCGGCTGTCACAAGAGCAAGTAAATGCTAGGAAATACTGTGAAAGAAATAGAGAAGAAAACAGCAAACATCTTTGTGCCACTATTCTCCCACAACTCCAATGCTCTCTTCATTTCAAAAAAGGATGTAGTAGAAATGGAAGAAGTTGAGAACACCTCCAGAGGTGCGGAGCAGCTGCCACACTGAGCAAACTTCAGCATTTTTTTAAAAGACTAGCAAGGAGGCGGTGATAATAGATCTGTAAAATCACAAGGGATGACAGCTGAATGTCTCTTCTGAGACAGAAACCAGGAAGCATCACGTGAACCTAGCAACAGCCATGCTCAGAAGGAACAAAAGGAAGCTTTTTGTGCAATAGACCATGAGCAATGGATCTGTTTGGTAAAAGGATACTGTACTCTAAAACTGACATCGTTTTAAGGGCTGACTTTAGGCCACAGAAGAGAAACGTAAGATTAAGTATACGGTATCATTCGAAGTCCTCAAGTGGAAAGTGTAAGGAGGAATGCCCTGTTGTATTTGCATGCCTTGATCTTGCTCTTCCCTATGTATCACATTACAGCTATTATCCTGAGACAGTGGGCAAGATGGACCTCTGGTCTGACCCAGCAGAGCTCTTCTGATGTTCTTGTATTAAGACTGGAGGAATTTGCTCCTCCTGCGCTGCTACACAGAGGAATAAAACTCTCTTCTGTGCATGGCCACTATTCTGTCCTAAGCTTGCTCTGAGTGACATGGCACTGACAGCTATGGAAAGCCTCAGAGGGCTTCCAGACCCAGGGATAAGGAAGACAGTGAACTATGTAGGAGCCTGATGGGAGTACAAGCACAGAACCCATCTCTGGAGAGTTCTGCACCCACCATGAGCCCAGGCTCTGGAAACACCACTAGACAAGAGACAGCTGGGGCTTAAATTAACCTTGCCTTGCTTGAGTTTGGGAGGAGGACACTAGTAAGAGAAAGAATATTTCTAACAAAAAGAGGGAATCTGTCAAACAAAAGGCCTAATAGCCCCTAAATTCCTCTCCAACACAGAATAAGCCCCAGTTAACCAGTTAACATATAGATAAACTGACCAGAACCAACATTGGGATTCTCACCAATTACACAAGTAATGGGGCCTCAAAACCAGAACACCTTCCCCCCTCAAACAACTCTGTGGCTCACACACTTAATCCCTCAGTTCTTAACAAGGGAGTTCAGACCACAAACTCCGAAGGCCTTCAACAATGGAAAATCATACTGCTAAAAACACACTTCAAAAGTTGCCAGATGCTTAAACTGCCGTCAACACTTAAGATAACAAGTGGACACTCGTTAAGGAGCACCGCCAACTCTGGAGGCACTAGCACAGGGCCTGCTCTTCCCTGCACAGAACTGAGCAGAACAATCCAGCAGTCCAGTCTAGGCTTAAGCTTTGCATAGACTCGATTAGAATATACATCTCCTTCTATAAAGATACCCAAGAGGAAGATGACTAAGAACAATCAAATTTGCACCAGCTATAAACTTTACTGAAGGCATCAAAGTACTGATAGCACAGTAAAACAGTAGCTTCAACACGCACACAAAAATGAAAGGTAGGTCTTGCGCAGCAGAAACAGATGCAGTCAATCTCTTGCTTTTGCTTTGTTTTCAAAACAGAAAAAGCAGAGCATGCATTTCCTGCCTCAACAGAGTAACATCTAGAGTGCCCCTCACTGCACAACACTTACAATTTTGTGTACAGGGAAGATCAAGCACAGGTAAACCAAAGTACAATTATCACTTGTCAGACACCACAAAGTAGCAACAAATGAAGATGCTTTCTACCATTCAAATGTCAATAAATTATACTTTCCACAGAAAATGGAAACTTAATAACTGTTTAACAGAAACAACCTAACCATTCATCTAAATCTTAAACAAAAATCTCTGCCTTCAGTGGCAATTCTCAAAATACTCTTTTTTAATTTAAGATTACAGATAGTATGTTATAAGCAAAAAAAAGCTTCCACTTCATCACCATGAATACACCTGCACTATGTATTTTTCCTGTGCAAATGAGCACCCTAACTTGGCCAACACAGGCTAACACATCCCATGCTCATTAACGTGGGATACATCTCCATTCTTTTTTAAATCTTGTGTTACCAAGCAAGCCCTTCACTGTCCATTCAAAGCTTAATTAAAGAAGCCTTTAGTTCTTAAGCAGGCAAGAATATTAAAATGCTATCAGTCCGGACCCTAGCATTACTATCTAATATAGTTATCTCAAAAAAGATGTTGTTTTATCTCCCCTTACCCCTTACCTGCTCGGGACCGAATGGTCCTTCCTGATCAAACATTACAGAGGATTGAGCTGGGCAGTGATCTGGTTGCTCTCTCAGGTTTTCTCGTGCTTCCTGTGTGGTCACAAATTCTTGCACTATTCCAGCAGCAGCACTTTCTACAGACGCAGTGGCATGGGTAGCACAAAGAAATTCAGAAGGCTGTGATGGAGAATATGTTGCTGCTTGATCTGCTCCCACCACAAATGATGTATCTGAAGCCACAGGACTAAGAGATTCCAGTTGGCTTTCCCCAGTTGAAGAAGGTGTATCACTATTCTCAATATTAACCAGCAGTGGTTGACCCCTGTTAGACTGAGGGGTTGAACACTGGCTCTCCACAGGTTCTACTTTCACCAGTTCAGCTTTGGGTGATGAACATATCTCATCGGCAACCTGAAACAGAGCTTCAAGATTTTCATCTGTCTTCTTGTTTTCATCAGTATCACCAGGCCAGTTAGAGGGCAGAAATTCAGTTGCGTAAGGTGAAGGCATTGGAGGACTCTGGAAGAAACAAAACACAGTGAACTTTTATAACAAAAAATTACAGTGACAGGATGCATATTACTTCTGTAACACTTTGGGAATGAACCTGAGTAATCAACTGAAGTGTTTGTTTATCCAAAAGCTTGAAAGATCGTCTGTTATTTTCAGTTAAAACAGCAGGTTTAATTAAAGAAAAAAGGCAACTACTTTGTTTTTTTTTTTTCATTAAGCACTTCACTCTTGGCAAGCTTGCTTTCCTCTATTCAATGTCTATCCTGGAGAGGAAGGAAAGTTACTTACCAGGAGCTGTGTACTCCTCCAGACGCATTGTCTGCATACCCTGTGCTTTGCAGGTGGAAGTATACCCAAGCGCTCAAACCAGGGACTTCTAGTATTAGTAGGACCTGTCAGGCCACATTAGAACCACCCCCTTCATGCCACATATGTGACAGAAAATGATAGAGCAAATCTACCTGCCTCCAGTTCTTCTAAAACTCAAGCATTCCTGTTGTGTAGAAAAACAGCACAAGCCACAAGATTTTTAAGCAAGAGAAAAACGTACGTATGCTGTAAATGTGCATATGGACAACACAAGTTGAGGAACTCAGTTACTTACCAATAACATCTTTTTGCTCTTCAAGTGATTGTCCATATACGCATCTACAGAAGGGGTGATTCCCAGGGATGCTCCAGTCCCAAAATGAAGGGGAGTTCAGATACCTATGAAAACAAATACTGTAGAACTGCCCTGCCTGTCACAGCCTCACGTCTGGACACTCTTGTCGCGACACAGTGGTCCACAAATGCACGACTCAAAGTCTATGTAAATCTGTGTAAAAGGTTTCAGATGAGAACCACTTCCTGGAGAACCTGTAGTGGCTGCCTTTGCCATGACAGGGCAGGTCTGGACACTACTAAAATATTTCACTGTAATGATGTCACAGGAGGACAGGACACAGTCAGCAATCCAATGAATTTTTTTTTTAGTAGAATTCATATAAATCAAAGAATGTTTAAAGCAGAAAGAAGACAAGGAAGAGTTTTTCAAAAGCTGCAAGTCCTACGCAAGTGAAATGATAAATCATGTTAACGGCCAGTGTCTGTACTGTTAGTTCTTCCAGAGATGACTCAGAGTTAAAGGACACTGGAAGGGTAATTTCTTCTGACAAATACGAGTCATATAATCGTGCTGGACTGAAACTCAGGGATATTTAAAATACAATCTTATTTTGGAAGAGATCCAGTATGAAGGATTAGTCCTCAGTGCCTGATTATCCTCCAACCTTCTAACTGAGGTAATGGTTAATAAAAAGCTACTTCCATAGATGAATAAATTAGAGAACAGGAAGCCACCGGATCACCTACTGGGAAAGCCATCTCAGATCAAATGCCAGTGAAGGATTTGGTCTCTCAGCAGCATGAACATCATGAGTTGCCATGAAGGAAATACCACAAAGAGGTGAGATCCCTTCCTCTGGGTGTATGAAGCCAAGTCCTGCTGGGGATTCATGTAGATGTGCCAGTTTGCAGATAGCCATAAACTTTGAAGGGGGCAGGGGGGAGGAGGGGAAAATAAAACCTGGAATTTGAGAAATTTGTTTAAGTTAAGGGAAGTCTTTTCATTAAAGGCAAGCCACCTTTATATTTTTATGATACCAACTTAAACATAGTTCCTTTCATTTAATATTTTTCAGTTGTATTTTTTTAAATATTAACAAGGTGTTCCACTTTCGTTGCATTGCTTGTTTATTGTGTTAAGTAGCCAGGATGCTAAGAAAGGCCTGGGATACCAAGTCAACTGTCCAGGGATGAGATCATCCCTGCCAAAAATAAACCAACCAACAAACCCACACTGGAACCTCTTCTGCCTCTTCTTACGGGGCCTCAGCTGGAAGCTGTTCTAACACGTATCATCTTCTTGGATGCATGTCTTGTACACATTTCCAGCAGGAGAAAGTGCCCACACAAAGATAAAATTTAAATCTTTTTAGTTTTTCTAGAGAAGATAGGAGAGACAAGGATGGGAAGGAGGCAGCAATGAAATAATGAAAATTGAGAAGTCAGGACTCAAAAGACTAATAGTTTGCTGGTCATTTGAGCTCAAGAGGAAACATGGTCTAATTTAGTAAAAGTGGTGAAAGGGAAGATGGGCATTTCACTTGTAAGATTAGCACAGTGTGCACAGGACATAAAGCACAACCACACCTTTTCAGGGACTGCTAGGACTAAAACAATCTGGCTTGAGTGCTTGGGCAACCATTCAGAAGTAATTCAGATTCAATTTCATTTTGAAATAACAGGGCTGATTATCGTTCTCATTACAAATAAAAGCAAACTACTTAGGACTACTTTTAAGGTCAGGAAAGTTTTTTTTCTTTTTTTCTCCCACATTTCTTTCTTCCATTTCTAGTTACCTCTTGCTTCAGTTCCACAAGGAAATACTGACAGCTTAACAAAAATGCTAATAGCAACAATCAACAAGCAGGGCTGCTAGTTAAAAAAAAAAAAAAGGGAAAAAAGAAAAAAAAATCACTAAAATCCAATATGTAGCCTTGGTTCGCACCTATGATAAAGCAGCAAGGAAGTACTGCACTAAAGGTTGAGAGCTGCCAGAACTGCTGCTGCAGAAGGCAGCAGGAGTTTTCTCTCACAAGACTCATTCCTGTCCAAGGACACTGATTCATCACACTGGCCCACAGTCCGCTTCCGGAGAACCCACATGAGAGTGGGTTCATACCCACAAGAATATGAGGCTGTACCTGAGCTCCCAGTTTTGTAACCAATTGTGATGAAAGTGTAATGCAAATCTCAGAAACCTTGATTTCAGAAACCTGACAAGAGATACACCCTAATCAGCCGCTATGTCTGGGTATAACCATCTACACTCCCTTGCCGTTCCATGCGGTAATTATCTGTAGATTTTTCTGGAGAGCAAACCGCAGGCAGACAGACATTTACCTACTGGCCTTGTCTGCCCATATTCCAGTCGGGGTCACTTAACACTTTCAGCAGTGTGTACTGTGCAAGCCCAGCAGCTGGCCTCCGAGCCCCAAGGAACTGTACCAGTCTGAATCTCTCCTAAACGTCAAGAGATGCTCTCTGCAAGACTCAGGAAGGACTGGCACAACGTTTAGGCTTTCTTGTCCAACAGTGCCCATTTTTCTTTCTGAGACCACAAAGCACTGTCTGGATCCAATAGAAATAGGGCTGATAACGAGCGTGCTGACTGCCAGTGTGCTGGTATGGCTCACCATCTTCCGGACTGGTCCAGCAGTTTTGTACAGACTTTGCCAGTAGTATCTGGTAAGCCACAGTGTGATCAAACAGCCTAAAATGCCCTGCAAACTACCATCCACCAGCATTGCCCTGAACTCCTGCAGCTGGTGGAAGATACTGAGTGGAATGATGTAATGCAAAAGTTTTATTTTTCCTGAAGAACAATAAAAACGTTCAGTCATCCAGGGTTGATTAACTTTACTGCTTTTTAGGATTTGTGCGAGTGGTTACTGATGATCAATACCCAAGCAGGGCAGGACAATCAATACTGTAGCTGGCTGCGTTCCTCAGCAGAAGTCTGGGGAAGAAGCATCTACCCCAGCGCATGCGAAAGGTAAACTGATTATTACCCACAGCTCCATGAGAACCACAGGTAACCCGCTGCCTTCTGTACTGCCTGCACAGCCCCTGTCACCGCGTTCCAGGAGAAATGATCTACGCTACACTAAGACTCAGAAACCTCAGGAAGTCCCGTCGATCGATTCTGTATATTTCTGTTACCTTGCTAAGAGACAGACAGTTACTGACCTGGTAGAACTGATTTACGCCACTGCCTGCCTTTGGGCTGCTCACCCAGAGGATTGCCTTCCAGCAATCCCTGCCCAGATGCACCAGTAGTTTTTCACTGGGAGTTCCCTGGTTAGAGCTGTGTTGTCAAAGCATTCCCTAGTAAGTGGCCTCAATCTCTTTTGACTCCACATACTGCCCATGGACTCGCTTCTACAAACAACTGATTTTTACTAGACCCTTTGGACAGCATATTTATATTGTCTTTCACAATGACTCCCTTGGAATAATTTGCCATCCCAAACATTGACCTCAGCCTTCCAAGACAGGCAGTTGATTGTGACTGCCCATCACTCCGACAGATCCTCATGTCCTGGCTGAAAAAGAAGCTTCCAGAACTCTCATGATGAAAGCAAGAGGACAAAGATACGCTGTGTGAAAAATAAATACTTGAGTATCAATGGCATGATTGGCCACTGGCTATTTATATCCTCACACCAACATGTTATCCTGGCCATAACCTGGCCATCTGGGATAAGCTTATATTTTAAAAAATCATGAATAAAAGACAAAGGTTGATATTTGCAAGACTGGATGATCAAGCTTGGGTAGATCAACCCTTTTCCAACACACATAAGCATAACTTGCTTTGCTTGTCCTCTGTGAGGGGAAAAGAAAAAGTATATCCATTATGTTGTAATACAAAAGGAAGCCCTTGCATTTTTACTTCAGATTTTTTGATGTTTGATAAGCCAGGCCCTCCAAATAAGGTGCACTTTTCACCAGAATTCTGTAAAGCACTTGCAGTAAGTACTGTAGTTATCTTTAATAAGACATCTCTGAGGTGAGGCCAATTCCAAAAGTCATCTTCGTTTTTCCCATTCATCAAATGAAACTCAGGACTGCAGAAAGCTCTCTGTGACAAAACAGTGGAGCTGTTTCCCAGTATTTTCATAGTATTAAAGAATCTCTTTTTGTCCAAGCAAGGATATTCTTCAAAGATAACTGTAGACTCGTTAATTAAAATGAATTCTGGTGAAGTCAAGCAAAAAAATTATACAGAAAAAAACACTCCACTGATGAGGACACCCACTATGCTGCTAGCCCGAAAGTTAACTTGAATTACAAAACTACCCGTTTAATGTTCAGTGGTTCTTTGAAATAGATATTTGTAAACCACATTACTTTCACTTTCTCAAGCAGATCAGTTTTCAAACTTATATCCTTCACTGCAGAAGTCCATAAACCTGCAGTTCATTCATAGAGCCTCCTCCGCGTTCCCCTGATTGCAGTATGCTTCACTCACCTGGAAAAAGCTGCAGTAGGTGTATGTCGAAGCTGCAGGACTAGCGCAGCCAGTCAGAGGATCTGTGTGGGCAGGTGGTGAACAACACTGCAGTGCAGCTGCAAGAGTTCAAACACAGTTATCAGACTTCCAGAATTTGTATTTGGTATGCAGGGTTTTATTGCTTACTTTGATTAAACATTTCAATAATCACACAGCAAACTAAATTCCAGAAATGTATTATTACCTCCCAAATGATTTTAAGACTGATTTCCTCATCTTAAAAAATATTTATTCTAATATATGTGTACATATATTTAAAATATATATTGTAAAATTGATATACATACACATAGAAACTTCATAATCACAGTCTTTTATATCTTAATATCACCTTTTTGATTTGGCTGCTTGACTTTCTCATCACAACCTACCACAGAAAGTGGATTCACAGAGGAAGACTCCAGACATTCATACACACACACGCACTGAAATCAAACAGTGATTTTATTCTAAAAAGCAACTTTGTAGATGAGGCAGTATTCTGCAGGTATTATTTTTTGGTGGCATGCTGAGATAATTTAAAGGTAAAGGCATTATTTGCAGGACACGTAATCTTTAAAACCTGCAATCATCCTGAGAGAGAGAGAAATCCGTGATGAAATCAAAGTCCAACGTTCATAATAAGTAAATGTAATAACTTGAAATGGCAAACAGATCAGATCAACTCATTTGCAATGCTTGACACTTACATGGGATTTCACGAGACAGCTGCTATGATAACCAATATGTTTTTTTAATATCTATACCTATTGTCCTTTTTAATATGATGTTGCTGATTTTTTGTGCAGTTTGGAGCAACAAACACGGGTGCTAAACACCACAGAAAGAGCTAGTAGTCATCCTTCAAAAGAAGCATGAGATATGTGTGTGACTCGTGTTGCTTCAAAAGCCAATTCTGAGCAATTTTATGATGAAATCTGGACATCTGTCAGAAGAACATCGTATGACCTGTGAACATATTAAAATTCGGGATATTGCCAAAAGCGTAAATGATATCTGGGTTTCACTCACTGGAAATGCCAAAATAGGTTTACAAACCCAAGAAAACCACCAAAGAAAACTTTTGAAGGGCTATTGTAAAAACAAGGCAAGAAAGCAATGACAAAGGAGAAATTTCTTGTAACTAGCTTGCTAGAGTGATTCTAAGGAAAAACAAACACGTATTACAAAGAACCTCTTTTCTAAGAAAGGAAAAGGAAGGACCTGAAGAGACAAAGTGCTTGTGTAAGTGTAAAAAACTAAGTCCAGATCATATGCTATAAAAAGCTACAAGTAAAATACAGATGACAGTATTCTTACAGATAGTAGAGCTTATAGCAAAAGCAACTCATTAATCAAACTAATTGTTATGTTTGTAAATCAAAGTGATGAGAACAAAAATAACTGTAGTAGACTAGATTGATGACCAATTCTGAATGGTTCTGAAATACAGAACGTTGCATAAAAAGGATGTTTTGCACTCACAAGAACTTTTTTTTTTTTTTTTTGCCAGCTCATAGACTATGGCAGTGACTGATCTAACAGCAAGAACAACTGCGTCTGTGGAAGTGTCACGGGAGATGCGAACGTAGTCTTAATGGTAGTCAGTCGAGAAGCAAATCCGCCATAAGATGGAGGCCAATTTTAGATAAGTGCCACTCGTCACCCATAGTCCCAAAAGAAGAGTCACCATATATCCAAGCAACTTTTTAAATAACACTGAAGAAAGCATTTACTGACGGGCAGCGTTACCAAGGGTGAAAGTGTTGATTCATTTATAGTATTTCGAGTCTTCAAATTGAATCAAGATTCAACAAACCTACCTGCTTCGCTCACACGCTTTTGTCCTACCCTGTTAATCAGAGAGAAGAAATTTCTAAGCTCTTTTGTCTAAGATCTAGTTAATCTAGTCATACCCAGAAGAAATTACCAGCTAAAGCACATTCTGTCACCGGCTGTCATGAAATAACTGACAGTGAACACAGATCTCATTTGAATACTAAGAAGACAGGGATGAATGGCATATTACAGAATAAATGAATATTTACAGAATAAATTAAGAGAAAGATACTGCCCTGTCCATCAAACAAGATGGATCAGCCTCAAAATAGATTTGGTTTCTGCCAAAAAAGAGGCGTACTTCTGCCCATACGAGCTATGGATGGAAAATTTCACACACCCTTCAGGACACCGTATGCACAATATGAACACTGATTTATGAAAACGGAATTGCTGTCAGCAGGGCTATAAGCAACCCAGCAACGGACCCCTGAGGACAAGCGGGGATCAATGAAAAACACAGTTCACAGAACAAGGAAAGGACAGAACACTGCATCACAAATATTCTTGCGCAGAAGTCAAATGATCACATTTCAAACATACTGAAAATATCTTTGGATAGTCAAAGAGGTTGGAAAGAAACCAGGCAACAGAATCAATACTTATTGAGGAAGTTATTTATAAGTATGTTAACAAAAAATTTATAAGCAAATACAAGTTATAAATCTGACAGCTGAATAAGAAAAATTAGAAGAAAATACAATGGAATAGAGAATTAGTTGACACTGGATAATATATAATGGGGAGGAGTCAACAAGGCTTCTTTTTGTTAAAGAGAAGTCACCCTTCAATGCCCTCTTGAGAGACCTCCAGTAGCTAAACAAACATGGATAACTGCGATCTTGCTGGTACGATATTCAGATTTTCAAAAAGCTTTTAACAAAGTCCTTATCAGAACATCTCATGAAAACTGAGCAACAACAGCACAAGAGGGAAGGCTGTACATTTAAATAACCTATCTTAATGACAGAACGCAGAAGACAGGAATAAATAGGCACTTCTCACAGGTGAGTGAGGTCACCAGTGGAGGTACCCATGGACCTGAACTGGAACTCATGCTACTCATCATTTCAATAAAATACTTCAAAAATTGAATGAGTGAGCAATGAGGTGATGCTTGCTGATAATACCAGGTTTTTCCTGTCAGAAAAGAGCAGTCAGCCACGAAGATGTGAAAAAAAAAATAAATCCTTATGAGTTTCCCAAAGCCACCACCCACCAGATAAAGCTCTGCACTTAGGAAAAATAAATGGATCTCATACAGAAAATGATGGGCTCTTAGTTGTCAATCAATAATCAGAAACTAGATCTTGGTATTATAGTTGATATTTTCAGGAAGACATCAGCTTGAAACTCAGCAGCTGTCAAAAAGACCTCCAAAGTCACAAAAGAAAAAATCAGGTTGTTAGAAAATATTATAAAAGGGAACAGAGAATGAAATAGGAACATTATTATTCCACTGTATAAATCCGTGATTCACACTTTGACCGCTGTGTATATTTTTGGACTCTACATCTCAATAAGAAAATAACAGAATTGGAAAAGGTCCCAGGGAAGGCAATATGGATGACGTACAGAACACTTTTCTAAAGGAACAGCTAAGTGGGCCAGAACTCTCCAATCTAGAGAAAATGCAACTGAAGGAATTACGACAGTATTTAAAATCATGAACGGTGCAGTGAGTGAGATACGGATATAGACACATTCACACAAAAACCAAATGGAGATTTAATGAATATGCAGTAGGGGCAAAAGAGACAAGAAAAGGTGGCTCATTGCACAAAATGCAATGAAGCTGTGAAATTAAGCCTTTGTCACAGATGTTGTAGGTGCCACAAGCCTGCATTTGTTGCAAGAAACAAACACGTTCATGGAAGTGAAATCCACCAAGGGCTACTAAATAGGACTTGTGTTATGGTTTATTAATTCCCTGAGCCCACAGTGTTTTGGAGTATTTTGGAAAAGCATCAGTCTGTGCTTGCCCTACCCCTGCACTCCTTCTTGGCCATTACTGTCAGCGGAAATGGTGAGCTATAGGGACATTTGGCCCGATCAAGGCTAGTATTCTTATCTCCAAAGCAGAGAACTATTCATTAGAGAATTAATGAGGCATTCACTAAATCCTGTTTTCTCAACACTGGCAAAATTAGATGAATTGTATAAAAATAAACAAGTGAAATTTAGCTGGAGGGATGACATCACATTAACATCACATTCTTATACATAACTCCCTCCTCATGAGACAGTATTATTTTGTGGGTTCTCAATGTTTCAATAGAGAAGAACAAATCAATCATCATCTTTGCAGAAGACATGAAAGCTATACCTCTACCAGTAAATTAAGCGCACCCAGACCCATTCTCTGGCACAGGCCCTGTTAATACTATTAAAATCTGTTACTCTTCCAAGTCAAAACAGCCACATCCAAACAGCCTCTTTGGAATGGTGCCAAGCCCACACCAACCACTGACCTAAGCACAGCGCTTTTGGGGGAGAGTGCTAACCAGGCTAACGATCTAATGATAGAGCAGATCAAGACACCCAAGCACCTTTCCCGGCAAAGTTAAATACAGTAGCGTAGACACAGACAGATATGCTTGAGCTCAGTCATGGTTTTAGCAAAGATATATCTTGCCAAATCTATCTGGAAGTTAGGACCTAAATCGAAATAAAATCTAAGAACATGAAAAAAGCCCCATGTCACAGTTCGGTGTGCACACATTTGTACTGCATGCTTTTTACAGGTTCCAATACTACATGTAAACTCAGGAAAGCTGAAAGCCCAAAAATAAATGTGAACTCAATATGATCAGAGGCAGATCTTTTCCAAACTTGATTGGCCACCATAATTTCTCCAAAGATCTGCTGGAAATTGAAAGAACACGTGTACCATCCCTATGCATTCAAGATAGCAACAGACATTAATGAGCATTATCATCAGCTCAGCTGGCCAAAGGGGATGAGACTGACAGTCTCCAGCATTGTCCATTCCACTCAAGCACATGCTACATGGGAAATATCAAGGAAGAACCTTAAGACCATCCTTACAGTGCAACCTTATCATGTCAGGTCCAAAAGTTATGCCTAAGAGAAGCAAATTCATCAGACAACTGGGTCAACAATACTCAAAGGTGTGCAGGAAATTAGGAAATGCAGCTGTGACTGTTCCTGCCAGATCAATGAACACATCGGAATGGGCCTGAGCGCAGAAACTATGCAAGCTCTGATCCTTTACCAGTCAAAAGACCGATGAAAATGAGGATGATACCCAAGGTCTCTTCAAAATGGGAAAGATAACGTTGTTTGAACGGTCTTAGGCATTTAGGTGAGATTAATTGCATTACTGCTACATAGACTCCGATATCTAGCAGTTGTCAAGACTCTGCACGGTCAATGAAAAAATAAGCTCATCAGAAAGAAACGAATTGTCTTCCACAGGCGTACGTCTAAGAAAGTAGGAATGACTCAACCTCTGGGAGGTGCCTGATTCTCTCTACTGTAATCTAGGTGGCAAGCCCAGGCACATACAGCTAACTATTATACATTCAGATGAATCTTAGGCAAGATGAATCCTACTACTAGTTTTACAAGTGCATTACTAATGCATCTAGTCTGCTTTTCTCAAGGGAAAATATGGCGCTATTTATGCTGTGTTAGAACAGATACTGTATTTTCAGCTGCTTATTTATTTTAAGAATCCCATTTTGACCAGCACATATGTGAATTTTAAGCTTTACATACTAAGAAAATTATTTATCATAACAGACGGTGTATCTTTCAGAATAACGTGATTACTCCTAAGCTACCACTCACCAGAAAGGTTATCATACGTAAATAAACCCTGCAGCCCCAGATGTATTCAGAAAGCATGATTGGACTTGAAATGTCAGCTGGCACCAATAACGAACATTTCTCACATAGTCTCCTTGACTGATTTTTCATTATTAGGATACTCTCTGATAATAAAGCTTCACTACGTGTCTTTGATGCAATCCTACTACTATCAAAGGTTTTGCAGATAGTTGAAAGGAAACAGAACTAAATCCTTAAAACAATTATGGTCTAATGCTAGCGGGAAAAAAAAGATCCAGATGAGCATCTTTTATTTTACTGCCCTTTCAATAAGAATCATAATGAAAAACCAGGCAAATCTTTTTGTCACTGAAGTTAACAAACAAGTTTGATGCACATGAAAAGAAATCTTTTGACAAAGTTCTACTTTGATTTAATTTAATAGGACTTCAAAAGTGAACTGAAACTAAATAAGATTGATTCTTTAGTTCCCTTGCTTATGAAATACATATTTTAAGATCAACTATCACTTTCCAAATAAGCTAATCTTGGTTCTGTGCTCTCAAGATGAAGGAAAGAAGACTTTTTCATGTGGATATATGAAGAAATCAGCTTTCAGCATTCTGCATGTTATAACATAAAGAAGAAAGGATAGCAGAGAGATTAAGGGATACACAGAAACGGAAGTAAAAACATTGAGACAGTCCTAAGTGACAGGGGAAATTAAAAGATTTCTAATCCTCTCTAGTGAAACGTCAAACTTATCTTCTCAGAAGTAGAATGAATTCAGATTCCATAAGTTTCTCTATTTTAGTTCGAATTACACCTTAATTTCTGTACCTTGCAAAATTTGCTATGCTTTAATCATGCCCTTCCCCCCAACTCCCGCCCTGGAAAATTTTACATACAACATAGCCAATTTATTCTTTAAACTTCTGTAACTCCAGTGAAAGAGACTACTGTCATCCTGTTATAGAGATCTACATATTCATGTCTGAATCTACGCTAGTGTCCCTCAACTCCTCTACAGTCAGTATGGCAAAATAGGAACAGGACAAGACATGAGTAATATCACCCCAAGACAAACTCTAAACCAAGCTGTGTGAATCACACCCTGGAGATGTCCATTTCTTTCCCTTGACTATGGAAGAAGTCTGGGGGACTAGCTGAGATACAGACATCTAAAAGTCAATATGATGAAGTTCAGCCTATACTTTGTAACTGATAGAAAAATGAAGTGGGGACCATCTCCCACCTTAAGCAGGTATTCTGGATGGGGCTTTGAGCAACCTAGTCTAGTGGAAGGTGTCCCTGCCCATGGCAGGGGGGTTGGAACAAGATGATCTTTAAGGTCCCTTCCAACCCAAACTATTCTGTGATTCTCAGGACACCCTTACTAGTTTGCAGCTGGTAATGCAGGCTCTAGCCACCATAGTAATCTTTTGTAAGTAGCACACGGCAAGAAGCGTATGGCAAAAGTTGCCTGTCTCTTCAACATTTAAGAATGTTCACAAGAAATGTCTAGCTCCTCAGAATCCTTCCTTGACAAAAAGCTATGTTATGGAAACTTGTGATTATTGTCTGAAAAATTTCAGCAGAGGTCTCAGAAGACACATACAAAAGAGGTGAAGATTTTGCTGTGTACTTGGAGAAAGACAGCAGCCACCACATGCAGGATTTCTAAACAGGGATATCCATCTTAGTGAAGTTGCAGCTGCCAAGGGAGGAACATGCAGAAGGAAAGAATAACAACTGAGCTTCAGTTTTGTCAAGAAAAGAGTCACTACGTACTGAGTTTCAGAAGTTTTAGGGAAATTAAAAACAAAAAAAACCCACAAGGACACCACCACCCCCAAAAATTAATCTATCAATCATATGATTTTTCCAATTCAAGGTAAGGGCAAGGAAAAGAACAATGATTTGCTTCAACTTCTCTTCTGAAGAATAAAAACGCTTAAATGAGACCGAAAATTTTAGCAGAAACATTTAAGACAAAAGAAAGGAGTCTTGTACTTTCTAGTCTTCAGTGCATAAAAAATACAACATAAAGAAGCTAAGCAAGAAAAAAATTAAGATATGAAAATAGTATGAGCAGAATGAAATACTCTACTCTATACTTTTGACTGATCTTTGACTTTAAACACTTACCTGGCCAGACATGACATCAAGGACTAGCACACTACTTTTCAACAAGTTCTCAGTGCTTTAGTATCATCATACGAGTTTTATTTAATTTAAAAAAAAATGTGAAAGTTAGCTTAACACTGACTAGTTGTGGACAAATGTTTTTCTCCTTGCCCTTTAACCTCAACAGAGAGGCTATCTGGAAAATCACCAGGGGACGCTCAGAATCTGGAGCAAGGACAGGAATACCGAACAGAAAATCTTTTGCTTTAAAGGTCTCTCTTCCTTTTAGACTTCACACTTTCTAATTCTCACTTGAGATATACACATGACAGAGCATTGTAGAAAAACATTTAAAAGTATCACTTTTAAATATCTTTTTGAAAAGGAAGTGCAGAAATTTTTTTCATACCTGTTGGATAGTAGGCTTGTGAGTACTGCATTGAAGATGTGTAGCTGCTGTATTTTGGAAGGGAAGTGGCCATGGTTTGGGAGCCTTGCTGAAGTGGCAGAAGAGAGGTGACAGGCTGGAGCGTGTACGTGACCTCTGTTGAAAACCTCTGGGGTGCCGTAAAGGCAGCCCCTCTGTTTGGAAAAGTTGGGGAAGCCTCATGCCCTGGAAGCAACCCAAGAGAACCTGGCCATGTTCTGGAAGGGACTGGAATCCGATCGAAACTTTTTGTTGGTAAAGTGCTGTGGTTCTGGGATGAGGTCGGTATGTAGGAGTAAGGAAAGAAACTGTCTTGATGATAAGGTTGATGAAACTGTCCTATAGTCAGCAGTCCTGCAGTGGGTACAAAATAAAGTGAAACAAGTGTTAAGCAAATGAGTTTTCACAGGCAGTAAAAGGCAATATGAGGAGCCAAGGCTCTACAACATGGTTTGGGAAGACTCCCTTTCTCCAATCCAGAAACAGACTGTATTCTTACACCTGATTGCACAGTAACTGCTGCAGTGGTGTATTAGTGCAGTGCCAACACTGCAGCTGTAGGATTCAACCTCCTTAAACTTGCAATAACAAGTTATCAGTGTTTGGAAATGTGCTATAAATCAAAATGAATAGTAACATACTAAACCAAAGTAATTTAGAAAGCAGTGTGTGTTAAATCAGACAATACATTTAAGAAAAAAAAAAAAGGAAAACATAAAGCAAGTCTTTAAGACTCCACCAAACTCCAATGCTGACAGCTCACAGACAGCTAACGGAAGGGCAACGTCAAAAATACTCCCAGTGACTTTGAAAGTACTTTATGAGAATTCATTTAATTTGTCAAGAAAAAAAAAATCAAAGCCAACTTTTTCCAGTCAGCTCAACTAGTTCAGTTTAGACTAAAGTACCCCAAACTTTGCCATTTGGTTATTTCCTAGATATTTCTTTTATTCTTCTCTTAGTTTCCTCAATTAGTTATCATTTCATGAAATGGCATTTGGTCTTATACTGTGACAGCTCCACTTCTATTAGAGGTTTTGGTGACTTTGTTGAAACACTGACACTAACACCGAGAATGCCTATGTTCATCGAATTCCTAAAAGAACCACTGCATTTGTAACTTTTCCGTGGTGTTGTATATAGCCACGCTGATTATAATTTTCAGGATAGTTTACATCAATAGGGTTTATCTAGAAGCCAGGCTGTCTCAGACCTGCAGTTCGCAATCCGCACTCTAAAGGACTTTTTACAAAAATAGCCTCACATTTGCCTCTTTCACTCCTCTGGTGGGAACTAACTCAAGAAATGGTAACATAGAGTCATTATTCTGCAAGTTCATACTAAATCGTTAAGAATCACTAAATAAATACCACCTGCCCCTGAAAATTTAATAAGAGATAATGTATAGGACTGTTTATTTCCTGTTCAGCATTTTTACCACATATAAACAGACAATGAACAGAGGTATGAGAATTCCTTTGTTTATATTTTACCTTTGGATAGGGAAATTAAGATTATCTAGTTTTAACACATAAACAAGACACCACTGGATGCCAAGTTACGAAGCACCAGTTGCTTTTACAGGCATTGTTCCTGGATGTTTAACATAGAGTTACATGTTGCAAGACACTTGGAACAGACTGACGCTTTGCAAACAAAAATATCTTTTATCTATCAAATTACCTCACATTTACAGCAAAGACATGCCCCTAAATAGTCACTACAGAGCACGCAGTAAATTGTCAGCCTGTCAGAACTTGACTGCATATAAAACCTAATGTTTTCATTGTGCTTTCTGTCTTTCTAGAAACTGAGACTCCTGGAGCAAAAGCTCTCTAAAACTGCGCCCATAAAAACAGAGGCCAAAAAATTAAAAGGCTGTATCTTTCTTAGCACTTACTCTGCCAACAGCCTGCATTACATCAGTCAGACCAGATTTCATTGAAGAAGTCAGTAATGAGTCATCTTAGTCTTAACAATGTTAGCACCAAATCTTTAACTTAAATGCTTCCTAGCCTCAGCATTGAAATAAGTTCCTTCCCTTCTCAAATGCTTCATTTTGTTTGCTTGGTATTACAACTGTAGCTCCACACACCTCACAGAAAACACCACATGAATGAGATGACAATTCCCACTCTGAAACAGTAACCACGAACACGCATCACGACATCCTACTCTGTTCTAAATACCGGCAGGTGCTGCAGGCAGCAGTACTGGCTGCTTCTCCCCTTCTCCCGCACCCGGCCTTACAGCTCTGCACCCGCCTGGTGCATCACCGTGGCCCAAGAGCCAGACATAAAAGGGCCACTCAAGTCTTCTCCTTGGATCCTTGTGCTGAACCAGCACAGTTACCTGTACCAACTGCAAGGAAGATGACAGTTAACACGCGACCAAGGGAAGGGGAAGTAGGACTGCTCTTCTAGTAGCAGCCCACCCTTCGTTCAGACTAAAGAGCAAAACAAGGTATTCACATCTTCTTTACACAGCATCAACTACAATGCTCTCCTGCTTATATGGTGGAATTTGTGGAATAATCCTCTGAGAGATCAGACTTGTCTTGGAAAACTCAGATCCTCTCAAGGAGGGTTAGAAAGAAAGGAAATATGTTCTGAGGCTTTCCAACAATATTTTCTATTTAGCTCTCACCTGCTCATTCAATCCTCTTTAAAAACTATCTAGCTTGTAAGCCTTTTTCAGGAGACAACTGAATCTTACTGCCAGGTCTTTTCTCCTTTGCACAAAACTGACAGGATGCTCTAGTTGTCACTTCATGTGACCCATCATTTCACGTAGATTTAATGAGAGCTTATTGAGCATCCCTACTGACGGGCAAGGGGCATCTGGCAGAGCTGTGCCAGCTCCGCAGAGATCAGGCGAGGGTGTTCTTAGTGTAATACACAACAGGGACTGTATCGTAGTCTACAGGCAGACTGAAAAACATGTGAACCACGTTACCCATGCTTACCGGCAGCAGATCTACCTGCATGATGAACAACCGTTTTCCTACACCAGGTGAACTGAGTGGCCACCAGCAAGGACAGGTAACCCTGCTCCCTCAGAGGAGCGCCGATTTTCAGACCTCAAGCCACCCAGGGCTTCTCAAACCCACCGCGGCCC